AGCAGGGAGCCTGATGTGGGACTCGATCCCGGGACTCCAGGATCATGACCTGAGCCGAAGGCAGTCGCTTAACCAACTGAGCCACCCAGGCGCCCCATTTTTTAGGTGTCTTATGGTCACAAATATACAGTCTTTGTCTTTACAGGAGCAGACTAACCTTAGCAGAGAGAGAAACAATTTACTTGGGCAAAGAAACGATGATGATAATGAACAATAGTATAAAAGTAATAAGGAGAAACAAAAATTTCATATAGGAAAATATTCCTCGGAGGAAAACTTTGAAGGGCAACTAGAGAGAGTCAGATTGTGGAGCCAGTCACTGAACACTGGGAATGGGGCGGAAGAGACAGTAGGAAAGAGGAAAAATAGGGAAGGAGGGAGGTTGCAGTGTGGGAACACATTTGCAATATACCACATGTCTGGTGTCCTTTTTGTTCTCAAAGGTTTCCAGAAATTTGCTCCCCCAGGGATATAGTTGGCCCCTAAACAACATGGAGGTTTGGGGCACTGACCCTCGCATGGTTAACAATCCACAGATAACTATTAACTCCCCCCAAAGTTAACTACCAATCACCTGCTGTTGACTGGAAGCCTTACTGATAACATAAACAGTCGGTGAACATATCTTTTGTATGTGATGTGTATTATATGCTGTATTTCTGCAATAAAGTAAGCTAGACAGAAAAAAATGCTCTTTGGAAAATCATAAGGAAGAGAAACTGCATTTCCAGTACCATCCCGTTAAACTCTGCATGTAAGTGGGGCCACACAGCTCGAACCTGCGCTGCTTAAGGGTCAACTGCAGTTTCCATATCTCCCCTTCCCTCCTCTTCCCTATTTAATTCCAACCCGGGAGTGTGGTACTAAAGATGGGGGTGCAGCTACACCCCTCAGGCTTCCGGGCATGCTTGGCTGAACAGAAGAGATGTCAAATTTCCTTCCTAAACAAGAAATTAGCTGGTTTGACGAAAAATAGCCCACCAGCATGATAAAGCATAAATAGCTACAAACCTTTAGATAAACCATTTTATGGTTATGTTTGGTCTTAAGTACAATTTTAGTCTTCCTCACACAAGGGCTTTATTTTTATAAGAAAAAACTGTAAAGTGTCTGATACTGCAGAACATCAAAATACACACAGCTGCACATTTTTTTTTCCTGGGGTCATTAATATTTACCTTGATGGCTAAGAGTAAAACATAGGCTTGCTCTACATTAAATAATGCTATGGAAATTTAAATATGCATTTTATTACACTGGATAATGGAGCACAGTGGAGAGGAAGCACTGGCCAGAGCAAGGAGTAAAACTTGGTGTTTTGGAGGAGAGACACTTTGTAGATTACCTCCACAACAAGTTCTTTTCAGTTTATGCTTAGACCCAGGTTCTTTATCCATAAGATGGAAAGACCCAGTACAACATATTTTCACCTTTACTTTACTCAAAACAATTTAAAGCATGGGATAGCTGAAATGGGGAGGGAGATGTCTATGACTAGTTAGCAATGAAGAGATTAAATACTTCAGGAGATGGACATCTGGGTGGCTCAGTTGGTTAAGCATCTGCCTTCAGCTAAGGTCATGATCCTGGAGTCCTGGGATTGAGTCCCGCATTGGGCTCCCTGCTCAGGAGGGAGCCTGATTCTCCCTCTGACCCTCCCCCATCTCATGCTCTCTCTCTCTCTCTTTCTCATTCTCTCTCTCATTCTCTCTCTCAAATAAATAAATAAAATATTTAAAAAAAATACTTTCCAGAGATAAGTAGATAGTCCTCAAATGGCAAGTCGGGATCTATGGGGTGGATATTAGAACTGGCATGAGTTCCCAGGCTCCTTAGCCACATCAGTGCCTCACGCCTTGTACCCTCTTGCATTGGTTATTATGACCATGTATCTGGAGGTCAGTATGACGTAGCAGTAGCATTCTATGAAGAGTTCAAGTTCAGTTCCACTCTGGTTTATCACTCTGGAAAAGCAGGAACACATATAAACTGGATGCCTACCTGTGTGAGTGTGTGTGTGTGTGTGTTTGTGTGTGTGGTCTCTTTTAAAGTCTCTGGAGGCCTGGGAAGGGACAGCCACTGCATGGTGGACCGCTGAGAAGACTGACAGTCACGCGAGTCCTGGTTTTCCCTCATTGACACCTAGCTCAGTTAATGCGTTGTCTAACTTTGGGCTAAGTACTTTAAGTATAAGCTTTCTCATGTTTAAAGTAAGAATTATATCTATCACCTTGCCTTCTAGGGCTGCTGAGAGGATAAAATGAAATGTATTTGTAACATTTCTATACTAGTGAGTGGTATGCATAATGTTATTAAGTAATTGTTTTCAGCCAGCTCCCTCTATTTGGTAATTCTTTAAATTGCCCACGAAACCTAATTTCTATTACCAATGCTCTCTCCAGCTTCTCTTTCCTTTCCTTTTCCCCTCTACCATTGTGAGCACCATTACCACTATCATTTACTGAAGACCTGCTCTGTGTCAAGACTGTCCTAAGAGTTTTACTGGCATTACCTCATTTAATCCTCATAACATTATGTGGGATACCCATATAGATCCTTTTTCACAGAGGATGAAATTGGTTAATAATTTGCTCGAGCTAATAGCAGGGGAGCAGCAGATATTGAACTAAATCCCAGTCCTCTAACTCCAAAGCCTGTTAGTCTAAAAATGTCAAATGATCTGCTATTCAGATCAGAATTGCTATATAACCCCTTGCAGTTCCTGAGATTATGATCATGAACTTCTCTGAATGGTGCAGTATTTATGCACCGGCATGGATTAAATATACACATACAATAACTTGCCTGTAGTTTCAGGAGCTGTATGGATCTAAGAGTCTTCCAGAAAACCAGATGGTTTGGTGCAGTAAACCAAATACCCAGTGGGCACACACTGTTCTCTTTATCGTGAAATCCCAGCACAGGGACTGCAGGGAAGATTAACTATGGCTTAGAAATTTGGCATAGCTCTATAGTGCTTTGGTTTGGTGTATGCTTCAAGTAAAAAATGTTCTTGTTGAAAACAAAATAATAATAACTTTAACTGAGGGTATTCATTTAAAATAGAGCAAAAGCGAGATGGAGGGGGATGGATGAAATCAGTGAAGGGGATGAAGAGCATACTTATCAAAGTGAGCATGGAGTAATGCATAGCAGTGTTGAATCACTATATTGTACTAATATAACACTGTATGTTGAGTCTACTGGAATTAAAATTAAAAACACTTAATAAAAAAATAAAACCTTCTGAAACATTATTAGGCATTACCATTATTATTATTAAATAATATATTAAATTGTATTCATAATATCCCATCCTACAACTTTTTTTTCAAAGATTTTATTTATTTATTTGAGAGCGAGAACAAGCATGAGTGGTGGGGAAAGGGAGAGGCAGAGGGCGAGGAAGAAGCAGACTCCCTACTGAGCAGGGAGCCTGACGTGGGGCTTGGTCCCAGGACCCCAGGATCATGACCTGAGTTGAAGTCAGACAGTTAACTGACTGAGCCACCCAGGCACCCCTACAACTTTATATTTTTAATGCCTTTCCTCATTCTCCTTCAAAGGATGATTATCATAATTATGGTATCACCTTAACATAACTTCCATTAACCTCTACTACTACAGATAACTGGAAAAAGACTCTCAGTTTAAATTAAGCCAGACACATTCTGTTCAATAATTTTCTGTTGCATAAGCAACCAAAACCTGAAAATAATATGCCTTTCTAACATAACTTGGGAACACACAGGCCTCATCGAAATATACTTAACCTGCAACACTTACACAGGGCCTGAGGTCAATGTTCCCGTTAATGATTTAAACCTCAGATGAAGGGAGACCAGATGCTCACCACCTGCTGTGTGACCAGAGACATTATTGGATGCTGTCAGGATTGGGATCATAAAGTCTATGAAATGCCATTCATAAAGGGATATGATGTTTGGAAAGAAAGAGGAAGGTGTCATGGGCACTGACACTGCTTAGTGTGGATCAAGCCGAGATGCATTCTTAAACACGGAAGCATTGACTTCATCGTATTTGTTTGACAAACTAAACAGCAAGAAAATATAAATAGAGAACAAAAACTATAATGTGGATTTTATTTCTGAAAACTGCTTCACTAGTTCTTTATCTTACCGTAACCCAGTAGCTGGGGCAGTATGACGTATATTTTGTAAATGAACTGTGAATGAATTGGTGAATGACTAAACTAGACGGGGCAACCAGAATGTGCTATTATTACCTCGAGGTTGTCAGTCACTCAGGATGAATGGCCAGTCTTCTGTCTTTCTGACCATATTTTTAAAGGTAAAATATGTAAAATCAGACAATAAACCATAACATGTTATATTTGTTCTCATAGAGGACTATCCTGAACAAAATCTCACATTTATGAAAATAAATTTGGTTACTGGATATCAGTGCTTTGTCTTAATAGTTTCAAAGAATGAAACTATCTCATTAATATCTTTCCTACTCTGAAAAGAAAGTGAAACCATTTCCTTCTGGGTATCAATCTGATGTATAAGCATGCCTGGTACAGAAATAATGCCAGAGAGCATTCATCTTTGCATATTTTATGGGACCAGATTTGCTTGCTTCTTGATTTCCTTTTGTACTCATATAATTCAGGGCTCTGTGAGTATTCATTTCGGCAGCATAAAAAATAAGACTTTTTTGCACTGTGATTTGATTATAATTATCATGCTTTTGTCACTTATCTCATAAGAGTCTGCTCTCTTGAAAGATACAAAGACTATATTCTCATCTAGTTTTGATATTAAATATCTCCAATTTATTTAGAAAATATGATTGAATATATCTTTTATTACCAATTTATATTATCATTTAGTTGTGAGAGATTTATATTGCCCCTATCTATTATTTCATATATCTCCTGCATGAAATAAAAGTTCAATTATCCAGGAGAGATGTTATCAGTGGACTATAATAAATTAGAGAATTTTAAAGCAGTTTTGATAAAAGTATAATCACAAACGTACATTATCAGCTCTGATAAATATTCCAGGGTCAGGAGAGAAAAATGTTTAAAAGTCAGTCTAAAGCTTAATAAATTGACTTTTAAACATGACTAGATCATGCAAATAGGGAAGTCTTATAAAGAAGTGGGGAAAATTATAATTAAAAATCAATAACATGTTAGATTATTTCCTTATTTTAGAAACCCAGCAATTTGCATCAAAGAGATTATCAAATACTAATAACTTTAAGTTATAGTAACTTAAAATTAAGTGTTTGATTTTTATTTGGGGATATCGTTTATATAGAATAAGCATTGAGTTTATTATATTATATATTTATGTTTTTTAATATGGGTAGCAATGTTAATATTCTTCCTGACCCAAACCAATAATAGAAATTCAATGATTCCATACATGGCTATTTAGAAGTTCATGATATTTTTATCATCTACAGGTTTAAGTTACTGGCTTATACTGTAAAGAATATTTTAATGGAAATAGAATACCTGAGCAGCTGGACTCATCAAGCTGGAAATCCATGCAGTTGGCCAAACCATCACAGCGCTCGTGAACTGGGATACAGCTATTAGAAGAAGTGCACATCAACGCACCATCAGAACAGCTCCCATTGGCTGGGGAAAAAAAAAATCATTTTTTAAATGAATTTCTTCTAATGAAATAATAAAAGACAGTTTATTGTATCATCCCTCATCTTTCTAGTCCTACATTTTTTTTTTTTTTAAAGATTTTATTTATTTATTTGACAGAGAGACATAGCGAGAGAGGGAACACAGGCAGGGGGGAGGAGGGGAGGGAGAAGCAGGCTTCCCGTGGAGCAGGGAGCCCGATGCGGGGCTCGATCCCAGGACTCTGGGATCATGACCTGAGCTGAAGGCAGACGCTAAACGACTGAGCCACCCAGGCACCCCTGTTTTTATTTTTTTCAATTTTATTTATTTATTTGACAGAGAGAGACACAGCGAGAGAGGGAACATAAGCAGGGGGAGTGGGAGAGGGAGAAGTAGGCTTCACACTGAGCAGGAAGCCCGATGCGGGACTGGATCCCAGGACTCTGGGATCATGACCTGAGCCGAAGGCAGATGCTTAATGACTGAGCCACCCAGGCGCCCCCCCTAGTCCTACATTTAAATTATATATTATTGTTCTTTTTGATTCTTCAAAAAGAAGTTTGTTGATAGAATCATTTCCCACCTATGCACTATGCACTATTATACAGGTGTGTATGTCTACAGTACACTGTGTATACTATGTAGTCTGAACTGATTTTAGACTAGAATAAACTTATTTCAAGGCTGAGCTCCCTGTGCTTCTGTTGTTCCCCTAATGTCCCTGCCATTATACGCAATTGAAATGGCCATGACTTGAATGTTCATCAATTTCTACATGGTTGTAAGTCCCGGGTGGTCACCGGATACATGATGTAGGTCAGTGCTGCTCAATGTACTATGACTCTGTGCCTTCCTAGCATGGTGCATTTTAGTAATTCCACAGTCTCTTGTTGGCCTGACTTCAAGAGACAGCGTAAGTCTTGCTCGTAAGATGAGCTGTTTCAGAAAAATGACTCTACTGATGCTAACCAAGGGTACTGACATTTCCATAGCAATCTAGTCATGCCAAGTACTTGACCTCCCCCGGATGCTACTCTTAGTCCTGAAATTATTTTTGTCTTCTTCCCTCATTTTCTTGTCTCATTAGGACTATAATTTCCTGTAAAGCAGTAATAATATTTAGGCTCTTTTTACAAGTTAGAGCTGAACCAGAACCCTTCATTCCAGGCTGCCATTAGGCATCTCCCATCTCCTACTTGCTTGAGAACCTGGAAACCAGCAGACTTAGGTTTCAGGCCTGATCTCTCTTCTCTGGTTCTACTCCAGTTTTGTCCCACGCTGATTTTTGTCATGTCTCTAAGCCTTTTTATGTGATAGCTCTTCCATCTAGCATTGCTATGTTTTGGAATAGAGGGAATATCAAAGCATGGACCCATTGCACCATCTTGTCAGGAATTCTGGATAGATTTCAAAAGCATGAAATAATAATGATATTGATTACAACCCTGATCCTTTGAGCCCTAGGGTTTGCAGAGGTAAGTGGAGGGCAGCAGTGAACAGTCAGGGCTTTGAGGTGCTTAACCCAAGTTCAGCAAGAATGGCTCTGCTTTTCTCTGACTTACCTAATGGTGTCAAATACAATACCTTATTTGAACATTTTAATCCAAGCCTGCTGCTAGAAATTTTAAAAAAGGATTGACCTGGGAAGTTACTTCTAGAATAAAGGCAAGTTCAAACTTCTCAAGCTAAATTGATTTTTTAGAAGACTCAGGAATAAATATCCCATGGATGGGTCTTACACAAATTTTGTCAGTATTATCATAATTTTTTTAAGTATATTTATGGGCAGGAGTTCTTTGAGTTATTATAGGTTATTGACACAGTTTGACAGCTGTCTATCAAAATTAATTTTCAAGTGGACATAAAATGTTTTTAAGAGTATGTCTTTCCACAACAAAAAGAAATAAAAGGTATTCAAATTGGCAAAGAAGAAGTCAAACTCTCTCTTTTTGCAGACGACATGATGCTTTATGTGGACAACCCAAAAGACTCCACCCCCAAATTACTAGAACTCATCCAGCAATTCAGTAATGTGGCAGGATACAAAATCAATGCACAGAAATCAGTTGCTTTCTTATACACTAACAACGCAACTGTAGAAAGAGAAATTAAAGAAATGATTCCATTTACAATAGCTCCAAAAACCATAAGATGCCTCGGAATAAACCTAACCAAAGAGGTAAAGGATCTATACTCTAGGAACTACAAAACACTCATGAAAGAAATTGAAGAAGACACAAAAAATGGAAAAATATTCCACGCTCATGGATCAGAAGAATAAACATTGTTAAGATGTCTATGCTACCCAGAGCAATCTATACCTTCAATGCCATCCCGATCAAAATTCCAATGACATTTTTCAAAGTGCTGGAACAAACAATCCTAAAATTTGTATGGAATCAGAAAAGACCCTGAATCGCCAAGGAAATGTTGAAAAAGAAAAACAAAGCTGGGGGCATCACGTTGCCCGATTTCAAGCTATATTACAAAGCTGTGATCACCAAGACAGCATGGTATTGGCACTAAAACAGACATATAGACCAATGGAACAGAATAGAGAACCCAGATATGGACCCTCAACTCTATGGTCAAATAATCTTTGACAAAGCAGGAAAAAACATGCAATGGAAAAAAGACAGTCTCTTCAATAAATGGTGCTGGGAAAACTGGACAGCCACATGCAGAAGAATGAAACTCGACCATTCTCTAAGAGCATTCACAAAGATAAACTCAAAGTGGATGAAAGACCTCAATGTGAGACAGGAATCCATCAAAATCCTAGAGGAGAACATAGGCAGTAACCTCTTTGACATTGGCCACAGCAACTTCTTTCAAGATACATCTCCAAAGGAAGTGAAACAAAAGCAAAAATGAACTTTTGGGACTTCATCAAGATAAAAAGCTTCTGCACAGCAAAGGAAACAGTCAACAAAACAAAGAGGCAACCCACAGAATGGGAGAAGATATTTGCAAATGATACTACAGATAAAGGGCTGGTATCCAAGATCTATAAAGAACTTCTCAAACTCAACACCCAAAAAACAAATAATCAAGTCAAAAAGTGGGCAGAAGATATGAAAAGACACTTCTCTGAAGAAGACATACAAATGGCTAACAGACACATGAAAAAATGTTCATCATCATTATCCATCAGGGAAATCCAAATCAAAACCACACTGAGATACCACCTTACACCAGTTAGAATGGCAAAAATGGACAGGGAAAGAAACAACAAATGTTGGAGAGGTTGTGGAGAAAGGGGAACCCTCTTACACTGTTGGTGGGAATGCAAGTTGGTACAGCCACTTTGGAAAACAGTGTGGAGGTTCCTCAAAAATTTAAAAATAGAGCTACCCTATGACCCAGCAATTGCACTACTGGGTATTTACCCCAAAGACCCAGATGTAGTGAAAAGAAGGGCCATATGCACCCCAGTGTTCATAGCAGCAATGTCCGCAATAGCCAAACTGTGGAAAGAGCCGAGATGCCCTTCAACAGATGAATGGATAAAGAAGATGTGGTCCATATATACAATGGAATATTATTCAGCCATCAGAAAAGATGAATACCCAACTTTTACATCAACATGGATGGGCCTGGAGGAGATTATGCTAAGTGAAATAAGTCAAGCAGAGAAAGTCAATTATCATATGGTTTCACTTATTTGTAGAACATAAGGAATAACATGAAGGACATTAGGAGAAGGAAGGGAAAAATGGGGGGGGGGATTGGAGGGAGAGATGAACCATGAGAGACTATGGACTCTGAGAAACAAACAGGGTTTTAGAGGGGAGGGGGGAGGGGGGATTGGTTAGCCCGGTGATGGGTATTAAGGAGGGCACGTACTGCATGGAGCACTGGGTGTTATACGCAAACAGTGAATCATGGAACACTACATCAAAAACTAATGATGCACTGTATGGTGACTAACATAACACAATAAAATAAAATAATAAAAAAAAGAACTTCAATTCCCACCAGTAAATATTATGGAACTGCAGCTACATCTAAGACTATATGCTTAGCACTTCAACTGGAGAGTGCAGGGGAACACTTCAGAAAGATAACCAGAAAAAAAAAAAAAAAAAAAAGAGTGACCAGAACATATACAGCAATTAAAGCAAAATGACAATAAGAAAGCAGTTAACAGTTCAAAATAATAATAAAAAGAAATGCCATAAGGCCAGACTTAATTGGTAAAGCATCAGTACAGCTAAGTATTATAAAAATAAGAGGTTCCTTTAGTGCATGAAAGTTTGTAAAGACTGAAAAAGTAGAGTCTTGAGATGTTTTGAATTTTCATGTTTCTAGTAAGCCATTTATCAGGGTGGGAACAAAATCTGTAAATGGGGAATCAATAAGTTTGACATTAGAACAGAGTAAAGCAGTTTGCCTTTCACTGGGGAGTTTGTGTAAGGAGGTAGTGCAGAAAAACCTAAAAACCATGGCCGAAACCAGACTGTAGAAATGGCTAAGGTTCCAGAAGAAATGATCTTTAAGCTTTTGCAAAAAGTTAAATAATTTTAAGATCTACACTGACAGGATAAATGATATTACAAACCAAGTAAACTAGGAAATAGAATAATCTTCCAACTCTTATAGATGAAGAGGTGTTTGTAAAAAATGAATATGTACGCATATATGTGCATCTATATATTCATGTACATATATATGTGTGTGTTTCTGTGTACATATACACATTTTTATTATCATTGTTTTGCAATGCAAGGGGCTGAGAGATCATGTAAGATAATATTTTTAAGGTTTTTTAAATTTTTTTTTAAGATTTATTTATTTGGGAGAGAGAGAACACAAGTGGGAGGGGCAGAGAGAGAGAGAGAGAGAGACATAATCTCAGGCTGACTCCGTGCTGAGCACAGAGCCCGATATTGGGGCTTGATCTCACGACCCTGAGATCACAACCTGAGCTGAAACCAAGTGTTGGACCCTTAGCCAATTGAGCCACCCTGGTGCCCCAACTATCTTAAGGTTTTAAATAATAT